GATGCGTATCTAATTTGTGCATGTTTTTTTGCTGTGCATTTTCTAACATGGATAGTGTATATTTATATAACTATTAGTGCACCCGCACTGACCGAATGGGAAGGCGTGGGCGCATCTGAACTGGCACCAACACGAATCCTCAAATACACCACAGTAAGGTTAATAATGCACCAATAACGAACATAAAACAGACAACACTATTATTTGATATATTCAGGTGCCCAATGACGACTTTAACCTTGCAGTTCGCGTAGTGTGAGAACGTGCGAGAAAATATCAGAAAAGCCTGGATGAATGTGATTCGTTGGATTTATCTAATCTAATGGCCTACAATTAACTGCACCGCCGCACCTAAATGCACTGCCGCACTTGAACCTTCCTCATGTGTGTGTGTGTGTGTGTGTGTGTGTATATATATATATATATATATATATATATATATATATATATATATATATATATATATATATATATACACACACACAGAGGGAAGGGATCAGGTGCATTTGTTGCTTCCCGTGCGGATATGCGGTGGATTAATGTGCGTGAGGTTTATACTTAATGTGCATGAGATTTGTACTCAATGTGTCTGGGATTTGTACTTAATGTGCGTCATGTTAATATGCGTGAGTTTTGTACTTAATGTGCCTGAGTATTGTGTTTAATGTGCGTGAGATTTGTGCTTAATGTGCGTGAGTAATTCAGAATTACGAGCTCAGAAAGAAGCAGTACAGAAAACTCACACATTAAAGCCCAAGCTTCTTGTTACTTCTTCCTTCAATAAACTCTTTCTGTTTCTCTCTTCTCTTGGAAACCTTTGGAGTGCTGCCTTAGCTTGCTTATGTATGTTATGCTGCTGTGTTGAGTTCGTTCTTGCATATTGAGTGTACACAAACAAATGACGTATAGGAAAAACCTGCAATTCGATTCTTCGAAAATCACGCGGGAACTTCGGCGAAGGGTGATCGACCCCATTGGGAAAGCAGAAACTGACATCCATATTTTCTGCTGCATTTTACACATTCACGCACATTAAGTACAAATCTCAGACACATTAGACACAACACTCACGCACATTGAGTACAAATCTCACGCACATTAATCACCCGCACAACCGCACGGGAAGCATTCAACCGCACGGGAACCTTTCACTATATACATATACATATATATATATATATATATATATATATATATATATATATATATATATATATATATATATATATATGTCATTTGACACTAAATAATATTTGACACTAAATAATATAACATAATAAAAAAAAGTTTTTATATAACAAATGTTGGACAAATATATAATTACATTTTTTTTAATTTCTAGGTCAAATATATCACATTGCTGTAGTCCATTTTCTCAAAACTCATTCACACTATAGGAAGAAAAATTTTGTTGCTAGAATTTTGCTTTATTATATATAAATATAAATATATAATCATATAGAATGATAAAGATAAAGATATAGAGTCGAGTTCTGGTGCGGTCGCGCCTTCCCGTGAGACCACACCAATAGTTATACAAATACACACCAACAATGTTAGGAAATTAACAACAACAAACCTGCACAAATTAGGTACGCATCACCAAAAACACACCATTAGGTATGAATAAAAGTACCACACAGTGTTCGGAAATGCACAATTAGGGTATGGTGTATTTTTTGGTTGTGCTGTGCATTTTTTGGTGTATTTATGCATTTCGTTGTTGTGCATTTTTCTAACACTATTGGTGCATTTTGTTAACACTATTGGTGTATTTTGACAAGCGACCGTACGACCGCAGCATTTGAACTTTTGTCTATATATATGTTTATATATAAATATATACATATATATATATATATATATATATATATATATATATATATATATATATATATATATATATATATATATTAAAAACTTAGATCTTTAATTTTTTAAATTTTAAACTACACTAGTTTAATATTTTGATTAAGAATTGACTAAGGAACAGAGAATTCCCATCCCCGCCTAATTATCTGCGGGGACGGGGATGGGGACTACATTCAGTTTCCGTCGGGGACGGGATCGAGATTTTGGGGACGGGTAAGGGGAGTATACTCCCCGCCCCCACCCCCACCCTATCCCGTTGCCATCCCTAACGCCAATTATAATTTAGGGACGAAAAGTGAACATGACCAACACTCAGAGATAAATTCTACAATTATTATATAACTTATGGATGAAAAATACAATTTTTCATGTAAAAAATTACGAAGTATTAAATACTAAAGTTATTTACTAAATTATCAAATGATAGTCCTAATGAATCACCAAATAGTCAACACAAGCTCAACTACCAGATTTATTCCATTAAAGCATTATTTGTATTCTAATTAATTAGTGATTTACAACACTTTAAAAAAAAAAAAAAAAAAGACAAAAACTTGTGTGAGAATGGCTCACGAATCCTTGTCCGTGAAACGGGTTGGATCAAGAGTATTATATTTTCCCTTATAAGTAACAAACACTTGTCAACATTACTTATAAGGGAAAATGTAATACTTTTGATGAAAAATGCAATACTTTTACATCAAAATGTAAAAGTATTACATTTGTCTTCAAAAGTGTTACATCTTCCCTTATAAGTAACAAACATTTTATTACGGGAAAATGACACTTTTGGTCACTCAATTAATAGCGCATTTACAATGTAGTCCATAGCTTCTAATTCTAGACAATTTCGATCCTTCAATTATTGTTACGATAATCAATTTGGTCATTCTGTCACTTAATCACGCTAAACTCCGTTTAGACCAGAGACAAAAGTGAAACTTCACATATCCTTGATTATTTCAACCTAATTTCTACCCCTTCCTCCGCTGACTAACATTTCCTTCACCACTTTCTTCAACCCTTTCTCCATTTGTGTTATTTTTTTCAGTCAGTGTTGATTATAGGTTCAATTATCCTACAAATTAGATCCACCACGCATAGTGTCCTTGATCTGCTGGTGCTGAATCAGCAATGCCTCATTTAGTTGGCATCTAAAGTATTTGGTCCTCCATTCCTGCAAAGATAAATAAATAAAAAAAAATGTCATAGTTACTTTGCTTGTATATTAATTGGTCCAGCATACCTGCAAATGCAGATCCAAAAAATAGTTTCAATATTAAGCCCAAAATACTCATGGTCTGCGGTTTCTGAATATGCAGAAGAAAAGTAATAAGAGAGGTAAGCAATATTACCTTTATTTTATGCTAATTCTTTCCTCTTGTTTCCTATAAGAGTGGATTTTGTAAGTTTCTTCATAATCCTTCAAATGATTGAAAATGTTTGACCAACAATATTTGCCAGAAGAGTGTTTTTATTTTTTTGAGCAGATTAAGCAGATTTAAATGTATTCAAATACGGGTAAAGAAACTACTTCAAATAGGGTGAGATTCTTAGTCTTGTTGTATTTGGCTAAATTATGAAATAGAATCTCATAAGAAACTAAAATCAATACCAAAAATTAATAAAGAATAAATATATATCAGTTTCCATAAATACCTTGGTGCACATAGAAATTGGAAGAGAAAATGAGAAATGCATGCTATAGTTTTTTGACTCATTTGAGAAGATAGAAGCACACGTCATAATCTTTATCGTGGTTTATTCATGTCTTGCTCCATTATGTTTGCCTCTTTACAAAACTCTTCTCCTATGATTATTATTATTTTTTTTTTCAGGTGTGATTGTTAGAATACACTAATGGCTCTCTTGCAGCTTTGATCATTTTTGTAATTTTGCATTTCCTCATTTTTTTAATCAAATTAACTGGATTATCCAACTGATGAAATGGACTGACTGATTCAACGATGATGTTAGTCAGTAAGGCAGATTATTGAGATGTTTATAGAAAGAGATAACGACACAAAGCAACACACAAGATGTTTACCCAGTTCGATACAGTGTGTATCTACGTCTGGGGGACGATCACATAAGCGTCCAATCCACTAAATCATAATCCAATGTACAAAGGTAGAGAAACAATAATCTCACCCGAGTGTCCCACACAAGGTACGTACCCAGTTTATACAGGTTTAGTGGATGGTTGAAGATGGAGAGCCATGCATACAGAAGACCAGTGAAATCCCTTCACTTGGAGAGCCAACTCTGATGCAGTCCACTTCAATAACGCTCTTCTTGGTTGTTCCCACAACAGTGTGATCGTAGCGTCCTTTCGTTTAAGCAACAATAATTCTTCTCAAGTTCTTCATCATAATCACCATGAACATGTTGTATTGAGAAGAGGCATGATAATCAAAGATCTGATCTCATAAAACTGTATTGGAGTGTTTTTTTCTTCTTGAAAGCGTAACCCTAATTCTTGTCGAATAAGAGTACTTATAGTTCCCTAGTACGAACACTCTCCATAGATATCTTTGATTGTAGATGGTAGGACAATATTTGAAGAATGTAATCTTAAAGATTCGGTCCATACCTTTCCAAAATAGATACGCTGATCTTCTTTCCAAATATGTCTTCTTTAAACCGCGTACAGACTTTAAGGAAACAGCTTCCTAATTCAGATCTTCAGTGTCAGTACCTCTGTTGTTGTATCTGATTGATCAGTCCTCTGTAAGATAAAACCGAAACTAAGCTAATCCTATCTTAGTTTGCCATAATAATATTGCCAATTATAAGTTGGGGTTTTTTGAGCAATTAAAACACTAACAAACTCCTCCTTTGGCTATTATTTGACAAAACAACTCGACTACGTATAAAGACAAAAGCTGAAAGAACTAAGATAGGCTAGCATAAAAACCAAACCAAATATCTTATAACAAAGCATAGCGGAAATAAAGCACAGCATACAAGTCATGCTGGATCAAAACATCAGTCATAAACATTCTTCAACCAAAAGAAGTGGTGCCATCACAATCAACGCCCAGCCAGGGCCAGAAGGTACACAAAAACACATAAAACTCCCCCTGGGTTCATACTTCCCCTTTTTGCCAATGATAGCCAAAGCATGGTCAAGCATTGGAGGGAGTCTCACTGTCAGACTTCGCAGGTTCAGCAGCAGCAGATTTAGACAAGCTTAAACGAAGAAGAACGGTGGCCAATTCAGTACGAGCCCCTGTCAGCTGCTTCGCAATTATGCCGTGAACTGTCTCAAGCTCAGAAACCCTTGCCTTCAACTGTATAGAAAGTTGGAGATCCCTTGCATGCGGCGAATCATCAGCCACTGTATCAGCTTCAGAATTGGAGGGAGCAATCACCAGTGTAACATCACAAATATGGTCTCCAGTCAAAAGACGACGGTCAATAGTATAGAGCAGAGTCGGACTTATCACCTCACTAGGCATCGGCCCAAGGCCCTGAGTTGTTAGTACTCCAAATATCATATTAGGGGAGGGTAGCCTTACCTTCTGTTCACGTGGATGGATCAAGGTGAGGATATGATTATAAATCCAGGCCCCCAAATCAAACGCCATTTTTGTTCCAATTCGAAACAAGAGACCTGCCAATTGCTTGCCCACGGTATGGAAATGGGCCGATGGAAGCCAGTTGTGAAGTGCACGACGATGCAATATGACATATTTTGAGGTGAGCTGAGAGCTAGGTATATAATCCTTGTCACCAGATGGCCATGTATCAGTCTGTCCACCGGTTAGGGTCTTGGCCACTGAATCCCAGTCAGTGATTGCTTCTTCGTACACCACTGACAAGCCATAGTATTCATTGATCATGTCAGGACCAAAGACGTACCATTTACCTCGAATGAAGATTTGCATTGGTCGTGGCCTAGTCAGATTGTCTATCTCTTCATTGAGATTACAGTAGAATTCATACATGAGGAGCTTCGAATACGGACAAATAGAGGAGACAGTCTTCAGCAAGCCCACTTCACTCAGCAGTGGCAGAATGTCGCAAACTGAATTCATCTGGTTTTCATTAACAGGCCATTGAATAATGAGATCTCTCCTTACCATGGTGGACCATTTACCTTGAGCAGTGGAGGTAACAAACTGAGGCTTGTAAAAAGATGTGTCAGTACTTTCAACAGGTTGAACCTCAAGAGTGATGCTCCGACCTCTGGAACGAGTAGATGGTTTCCCCTTTCGGGTAGAGGATGTGGGAACAACAGCTGGTTGAACAGCAGCAGGACCTTTTTGCTTAACAGATGACCGTAGTGTCTTGAACACTTGTTGAATTGGAGGATTAGCTTCAGGTTCGATAGACTCACTGGACTTGCTTCTCTTCTCAGGCTGATCTACATCAGCATTGTCATCACCCGTCTCAACAACAACCTTCACAGGAACATTCTTTTTTTTTTTATCTTCTCGTCTCCTTGGATTGGGAATGAACAGGAGACACAGAGTGACGGGAATCAGGAACATGGGCAGAAGAACTTCCAAGAAGATTTGTTACTTCTCGAATTTTAAAGGTGGTGGAATCAGGATGAGCAGTAGCCTCAACAGTTGGGGGCTTAGATGCATGAGCTTGAGTGCCATAGACTTCAGCAAGGATCTTTTCATCTTCACTCGAGGACTCAGAATGATGAATCACACGGTATGGTTCTGGAATGGAGGCAGCAGGTAAACCAGCAAAATGCCGGACATGTTCAAGACTTTCAGCCAAAGATGAGGAGGTGTAAACTGGGACTCCATCTATTCTTTCAGATGCATGGGTGCTTGAGTGTTTAACAGATTCAACTTCAACAGGCAAACCAGAGAGATTATCAGAGGGACAGATTTCATGTGGGACATCAGCAATCGCAGAAGGAGGCAGAGCAACATTATCAGACGAGTAAACAACCAAACTTAGATTGTTGGTTTCCTCGGAGGGTTTATCTTTCTCATCAGACACAACATCAACAACTTCCTTCAAAGGCCCAGACTTCGTAGAGGGGATGCATGGGGGATCATCAGACACAGAGGATTTCACAGATAATAACGCATTTACATTATCAGACACAGTAGGCACAGCAGACGGAATATCAGCAGATACAAAATCATCAGGCTTACTAGGAGAAATTTCAATAGGAGAATCAGAAGTATTTGACCTGTTACGGAGAATCTCCATTCGGTGTCTGGCTTCATTCTCGGCAGCCTGTAGGTATAGGGGTTGTGCAATTGCTCTACGACGGGATATCTCTTCTGATTCAAGAGCCCTTTGTGCAAAATATTAGAGAAACGCCCCGGCCCGATTTCCATCTGAGGGTTCTGGGATAAATGCTGGGGAAATCTCATCACTAGCTTCGGAGGCCAGCAACAGGAGCTCACTGGTATCGTCTTCAGACCAGTCGGCGTAGAACTTTGGATAATCCGACATCACTGTGACCATAATCTCATCACGAAGAAGGGGATCAAGCTTCAACTTCTTCTTCATAGCTAACTGGAGCAGGGTTTTGACATGCTTGGTGGCTGTCTCTTGTGAATGAACCTTTCTCCCAAGCTTGATGATAATGTTACGAACGGCATCCGCCATTGATATGAAAATTTGGAAAGCGGAGAAAGAAACCCTAGGTAGAAGAGCAAAGAGAAATCAATCGGTGGGCAGAGATATTTTGAACTTCTTCGTTCTTCCAAGCCTGACCCGATACTCAAATATAGACCCAAGGGTGAAGTACCCTAATAAATGCAGCATGTCAGATTTCATGCAGAGCCGATGTGATTGACGCGACGGTATGCCTTCTTTTTAGGCAGGAAACGGATGCGGAAAGGATTTGAAATTTGAAAAAGGCGAATTACTTTATGGTAAAATAGGTTAAGATATTCTCTTAACAAAACAGAAGAGAGTTTTAAAAGGAAGTCAAAGCTGGTTATTGACCGGGAAACTTAATTCCATATACTCTCCTTCTATATAACTTACTGCCTTATTAATCAATCCTGCAGATTCCCAGAGCAGATCTGAGAATCTCAAACCGATTTGCATCTAGGGGCTTAGTCAGAATATTAGCCAATTGTTTATCTGTTTGAATATACTCCAACTCAATCTCCTTTGATTCTACCAAGTCTCTGATGTAGTGATGTCTTATATCAATATGCTTCGTTCTGGAGTGAACTGGATTCTTTGAGATATTGATAGCACTAACATTATCACAGTAGAGTGTTATAATTCCTTGAGTAAGACCATAATCTAAAAGCATCTGTTTCATCCATACCAACTGAGTACAACATCCACCAGCAGCTATGTATTCTGCCTCTGTAGTACTTAAGGAAATTGAATTTTGTTTCTTACTCAGCCACGATACCAAGTTTTTACCAACAAAGAAGCATCCTCCAGAAGTACTCTTTCGGTCATCAATATTTCCTGCCCAGTCAGCATCACAATAAGCAACCAGACTCAGTTCACTGTCCTTGGAGTACCACAGCCCATATTGAATTGTTCCTTTTATATATTTCAGAATACGCTTAGCAGCTATCAGGTGTGATTCTTTTGGATCAGATTGATACCTTGTACATATTCCAACACTGAACATTATGTCTGGTCGACTAGCTGTCAAGTAAAGCAGACTACCTATCAGACTTCGGTAGACTGTGTTATCCACTGATACACCTGTGTCATCTTTAGATACTTTTTTGGAGGTGGAGATCAGTGTCCTGGATGGTTTGCATGATTCCAAGTCAAACTTCTTGACTAAATTCTTAGCATACTTTTCTTGTGAGATAAAGTACCCTTCAGGACTTTGCTTAACTTGCAGCCCTAGGAAATATGTCAGTTGACCAACCATGGACATCTCAAATTCTTCCTACATGACCTTTACTAACTCATCAGTGTATTTTTGTAAAGTAGATCCAAACACAATGTCATCCACATAGATTTAAGCAATGGTGACATGACCTCCAGTGGCTTTTACGAACAATGTTTTGTCGACACTTCCTCGTTTATAACCGTGCTGTAGCAGATACTGTGTCAGACGTTCGTACCATGCTCGTGGGGCTTGTTTAATGCCATAGAGAGCTTTTCTGAGCTTGTAGACATGGGATGGTGTGCCACATAGATATCTTCATGCAGATATCCATTCAAAAACGCCGTCTTAACATCCATCTGAAACAGTGTGAATCCAAGAATGCATGCGACTGCCAACAGAATTCTGATTGACTCTAATCTCGCCACAGGTGCAAACGTTTCATCATAGTCAATTCCTTCTATCTGAGTGTATCCCTGTGCCACTAACCGAGCTTTGTTCCTTGCAATATTCCCAGCTTCATCAGTTTTATTTTTGAAGATCCACTTTGTTCCAATTATGTTGACATGATCAGGTCTTGGTACTATATCCCAAACATGATTTCGGTCAAATTGGTGTAGCTCCTCTTGCATTGCCTTGACCCACAAATTATCCTGTAAAGCTTCTTTTACATTTCTTGGTTCTACCTTTGAGGCATAGCAAGCAAATCCGGATATTTCTATCAGGTTATTTCTTACTCTGCTCCTGGTCTTCATCCCATCTGTTGGATCACCAATGATGTTATCTAATGGGTGATTTTTCTGAGTTCTGGTGGGTTTATCTTTACCCGTATCATCAATAAGAGTGGTTTCCTGTTCAGAACTTTCTTGATCTTCATATGAGGATTCTTGTGTTTTGGGCTGACTGTTGTCATCGGCAGTATTCAGTTCACTGACAGGAAGATCTGTCTCTGGATCAGTCACAGTTGTTTCAGCTGATTCGTCTGGGTTGTCATCTATAACAACATTTACTGATTTCATTACAGATTGAGTTCTCTTGTTATAGACTCTATAGGCTCGACTGTTTGGAGAATATCCAAGAAAGATGCTCCCATCGCTCTTAGGTTCAAACTTGCCTCTTTGTTCCCTATCAATCAACACATAGCACTTTGTTCCAAACACATGAAAGTACTTCAAGTTTGGCTTCTTTCCCTTCCAGATCTCATATGGTGTTGTGGTCGTTCCTGGTCTAAGATAAACTCTATTCACTGTATGACAGGCTGTGTGAACTGCTTCAGCCCAGAAGCACTGTGGCAGGTGAGAAGCATGTAACATAACTCTAGCCATTTCCTGCAAGGTCCGATTCTTTCTTTCCGCCACACCATTCTGTTGGGCTGTTCCAGGAGCTGAGAATTCATGTGATATTCCATTCTCGGAGCAGAAATCTTAGTATAGAGAGTTTTCAAATTCTTTTCCATGATCACTTCTCAGTCTCTGAATTTTTATTATAGGCTCGTTCTTTTCCTTTTGAACCCTTATGCACAAGGTTCTAAAGGCATTGAAGGCTTCAGATTTTTCTCTTAGGAAGTATACCCAGCTGTACGGAGAGAAATCTTCTACACACACAAATATGTATTTCTTTCTGCCAATACTTTCAGTCTGAGTTGGCCCCATGAGGTCTATGTGAACAAGTTCTAGACATTTCTCAGTAGTGATAACTCTTACGGCTTTGAGAGGAATCCTTATTTGTTTCCCAATGGCACATGCACCACAAACTCTCACCTGTTCAATTTTGATCTTAGGTACTCCTCTCACAGCTTCTAGTTTGATCAGTTTATCCATATCTCTGGAGTTTATGTGACCCAGTCGTCTATGCCAGAGTTTTGATTCATCAGATTTTGATAGGTGACAAGCATTTTCGTTTGTCAAAACATAACAGTTGTCTGAGGATCGTGTTCCTTCCATGACTAATTGATCTGCTTTGTCACTGACTCTGCAACAATTACGATCGAAGCACACATTCCAGTTTTGATCACACAACTGACTGATGCTGATCAAATTTGCTTTCAAACCACTGACTAACAAAACTTCTTCTAAGTGAGGTAAACCTGGTACATTCAGGGTACCTTTTCCAACTATTTTGCCTTTTTGCCCGTCGCCATATGTAACAGATCCACTGCTAGATTGAACAGCCATAAGGCACTTTATATTTCCAGCCATATGCCTGGAACAGCCACTGTCGAAATATCATCTAGCTTCAGTCATAGAAGCACTCAAAACTATAGTGGGATAGCATATAACTTCTGACTTTCTGACCCAAACTTGTCTCGTGAACGGTGTAATAGTCTTGTTCTGATATTTTTCCTTTCTTTGATCTCTGTAGAAGGAATAACATTCAGGTCGAGTGTGACCTTTTGTTTGACAGTAGTGGCAAATGGGAATGTATTGTCTGACTCTGACAAACTTATTTTTGAACTTTGAGTACTAAGATTGAGGTTCTACTTTGCCGAAGTCAGTATCTGCAGTTTGATCATATACCTTCCTTTTGTCATTTTTCTGAACTGACCGGGATGACTGTCCTCGTTCAAAATTGTGAACTGATGTAGCAGTAGACATACCCTCTTTGATGAACATAGGGACACTATTCGAAGATTCTCCTCGTTCGAATCCAATACCCTTTTTATCATTTGGATTTCTACTAGAGTCCAGAATTTTGTCTAACGTTGATGTGGTATCCATCATCTTGATATTCTTCTTCAGGTCTTCCAATTCCTTTATCAGTTTTCCTTCTCGAGATCTTATCTATGTGATAAGATCTTTTTTTATGACAAGATCTGTATTTAGTTTCTTCAGAAGATCATCCCTTTGCTTCAGTTCGTCATTCAGATTTTTATTGACTTTCACTAGTTGTTCCCAGCTTGCAACAAGTTTGGCAAATTCCATTTCAAGTTGAGTATGCCTCTTTTCAAAATCATCTGTTGATATATAGGATTCTCCATCGGATTTGTTTTCGTCTGACTGATTCTCTGTAGCTGTAAAGAAGGCTACAAAGTTTCCCACATTGTCATCTGATTGATCATTAGATGCTTCCTCCTCATCATCACTTAGCGTAGCCACCATTCGGTCCATACCTTTCCAAAACAGATACGCTGATCTTCTTTCCAAATCTGTCTTCTTTAAAACGCGTACAGACTTTAAGGAAACAACTTCCTAATTCAGATCTTCAGTGTCAGTCCCTCTGTTGTTGTATCTGATTGATCAGTCCTCTGTAAGACAAAACCGACACTAAGCTAATCCTATCTTAGTTTTCCATAATAATATTGCCAATTATAAGTTGGGGTTTTTTGAGCAATTAAAACACTAACAATTTTTTTTTTCCGATGATGAACTACGAGCAGTGTTTTCTGTCTTGC